GGCTTAACAGAAAGTCCTAAAACTGGAAAGGTAAAAGGTATAAACTCAATATCTGCCATGTAATGCAACATGGGGACTGTCCGTGAATTGCTTCGAATAATTATTCTGACCTTCTTTTTTATTCTATGAACCAGTTTTCTCTTTTCTGCAGATCCTTTGTAAGTGCTGGCAGTGTGCTCTTCCAAACGTCCTGTTCCAGTTCTTGTCAGTAAGCAGGCCAAGTAGTTCAAAGTGGTGATCTCCACCACACACACGGTATCCTGAAGTTAGCACTGGCACAATGTTGTTTGTCCTGCCACACTGCATTGTGGTACTCTCATGCTCCCTCCTGCAGCTTCCATAAGTTTGCTCACTCCCCACATGGTGGCTTATCATTTGAACTGCTGATTTGCAACTAAAGGTCATCACCTAAATGCAATTCTGAATTTGTTTGCTGTGCTTCGTTAGATCCATAGTGGCTTATTAAAGCTAAGCTCCAGGCACATAAAAGTACTACTTATGAGTTTCCTTACATTAAAAAATATTTGTAATGATTTTTTTTTAAGTTGAATTTGACATGTTATCCGCTTCTTGCACTCATGTACAGCATACCTCAGGCCAGGTGAGGGAGTGTTAGTATTGAGGGCCAAATTGAGTTTTTACAAGAAATCAGCAGACCGGATAAAAAAATGGAATGACATCTGTCTGCGGCTACTCCTTTTACTGATCATTCAAAAGTCGAGGTAGGAGGGGGACTAGGCTGTTGCTGCTATACTGACCAGTCAGTCTAGGGGTCGATATCCTTTAAACTGCACTAAAGAAAAGTCAAGTAATTTGCCTTGCTTGGCTGTCTGGCAGGGTTGCGTAAATCTCAATATTGGATAGACAGAATTACAAATCATTTGGCAGGTAAGAGACCTTCCATTTTATGTATCTGAAATGTTCCCTCACACCTCCCCTGTGATGAGCCTTTCACCATCTCTATTTAGTAGTCTATTGGTGGAATCGTAGGGGCCACTGGAGGATAGAAAAAAGGGAGCAGCCAAGGCTGGAACCTGATCTAACGCTGTCATCCTGATACTGGTTCAATATTGCACACGTCAATTACCTAGAATAAGCATGCAGCCTGTGAAGTTTAGATTTTAGATGACCTCCCTAAACCTGCATCTCTAAGAAAACCGTGGCAATGTCAATATTCATACAGTAAAAAGTTCCCTTTACATAGCAGGAGTTTAGGCTTTGTGCCAGGATCTGGTGGGTTTAATGGCAACAGGGGTAGAATATCAGATGCAGTTTAAAACTGGGATGAAGAGGTCTTTAAAAGCAAGAGTATACATTTGAAGATAGATATAAGTATTTTTTCCCTCTTTGCCAATATTGTTAAATCTGTGGCACATTACTGGTTCATTTCAGTTCAAATTTAGCTAAATATTTTCTAGGTGGATCTGAGCAAAAGGTGTTATAAAGTCTGACCGCTCATTTTCTTTAAAAAGCAGCCACAGTAAAATAGCCAATCCCCTGCCAGCATGCTGTAGAGAAGTACCATTGCTCTCTGTAGACATAGCGGCCTTTCTGCAGAGGAACAACAAACCCCCCTGCAGAGTCAGACCAATTCTCATGCTCCTGCTGATTGGAGAGCTCTAGATCTAATTCATCATGGGGTCTGTCGGAGCTCTTCAAAAAGAATATTGCATTCACACAAAGAGCAAGGGTCCTTCTCTACTGCATTCTGGAAGACCTGCCTGTGTAGCTGTGGCTGCTTTAAAAAAAGTTTGCGGAGAATGTTTTTAAAGGGAGCGTTCAGTTGTGCTTTACTGTTGACAAAATTAATGTTTGCATTTTTTTTTAGATGCCAGGACACAGCTGGACCCAAGTGTGTGTGTTTGTGTGTGTACACCCTCCCAACTAAATGTCAGAGAAAGCAAAAAGATGAAGGGGTTCTCCTTGTTTGGGGATATGGGCCAGATGTGTAAATATTGAATGACAAGATGGTCAGCCATGAAGATCATATGCATTTGGCAACTTTGCTATATTTGATTGATTGGTAATCAAGGGTCTGAAATGTAGTCACTATGTGGTTTGGTTTATAAACCCAGAGGGCAGTTGATAGGAGCACTCCCTTTTGGCTCTGGGTGTTTTTGCCCTGAATCTTTCCAGGATTGGCCTGCTGGCAAAAACCTACTCCTTCCTTGTTTTTTTTTTTTTTTTTTTTTTTTTTTTGTGTGCTTTTTTTTCCTTTTTGTAACATGCTCCTGGAATATTGCATATATGTATATTCTATGATCTTTGATATGATGATATACTGAACGTGTTGCTGTATGGAATTGTATTACGTATGCAATAAAAATAATCAAAAACATTACTTCTTCCTTTTTGTTTCTCTTAAAGAAAAGTTGTATGGTTCCATCATAATAGATTTTAAAAATCAAGACCGGAAGTACAGAGTGAGATTTTGCAGTTTTCCATGATATCCTTAATCATTTTGGGGTCTTCTATTGTACCAATTTCTTTTTATTATCTAATTAATATACAAAGTATTTTTCCACAAATGTTTGAATCTTAAACACCACCAGTGAACTGCAAGTTGTCGTCTAATTTTTTTTAAACATTTTTTTTGTGTGTCTTGTATTTGTTCAGGTTACAATTGAAGTAGTTGACAGTGCTGACACAGATCCAGAAAATGAAATGCAAAAGGAGAGCAAGGCCAGCTGGCCGGTTCCATCACCAGACTGGAGGAGCTGGTGGCAGAGGTCATCATCATTACCCAGGATAAATTATGGGGGCCAAGACTACAAATATGACAGCACCACTGAGGACAGCAACTTTTTAAATCCTCTGGGTGGATGGAACAGACAAGGGCTCGGCCATCGCACATTTGATCTGAAAGAACAGCCAGAGTATGGTAAGTTCATGTTACACATATCATGCTATGTGTGCAGCATATACTGTACATTGATTACTGAAGACTGAGAGCTTGCTGATTGAGAAGATGCAGAAGGGTCTATCTGCTCTGAGATACAATGTCTGTAAAAATAAGGAGAATTTGAAGAGTTGCTCTTAACTGATTTAGTTACTGGAAGACATTTATTCATTTAATACATATTTTCACATTTTTTAACCTTTTTGTTGCATGTCCATGCTGCTGATCTTCTGCAGCCTCTATGCAGCCACCCAGGGCTGTAGCTACCATGGGGCGAGTGAGGCACTCGCCTCAGGAGCAGCTAGGGCCAGCCTGGCTGCGCCCCCTCACCCCTGTTGCCATGGCGAGCACAGGGCACCATTGGCAACAGGGGTGCCAGGCGGCCAACACAGCCGCGGCTCAGCAGGGCAGGGAGAAGAGGAGCGGCACAGGCAATGCTGCTCTCCCCCACCTGTATGGGCTGAGGACTCTCACACTCGCATATTAGTAGACATGTGCAAAAATTAACAATTTGTTTCAGACTAAATGAACGGAAACTAAAAATGTTTTCATTCGTTTCATCAAATGAAACACATTTTATGCTATTTTGGATTTGGCCACCTGCGCATTCTGCTCATGCGAGCCGCCATCCCGGAGGTGGGGCGCATTACGTCACATACTGCACATGTCTGTTGGGGGCACAATTTTCTGTTCTTGCCTCGGACACAAAAGGAGCTAGCTACAGCTTTGCAGCCACCCCCTGCTATTTTCCTACCTACAATGGAATCTCACTCTTCCTGGTACAAGAGGATAGTTTGCAAATATTCCATATCCTTTTGTTGTGTTCTTCCTAGTATAACAAAATAAAAATTGCCGTGGTAGGTGTCGGATCTGGAAACTCCAGCCCAAAAACAATCTTGGGAGACATTGGAAACCTTCAAACACATTTAAGATGGCATTTCGGTTAGGCATTAGGCTAAAACTTGGTTCCCACCAAAAATACATGCCTAAAGGTTACTTGACTTGAATGGCAAAATGTTGGTGAAGGCACCCACAATTCAACATATAAGATTTTTTACAATATAATGCAAAGCAGTGTATTGATGTGAACAGGAATTGTTTAAATATTGTGTTTGCTCATGATAATGTGGGAATTTGTGCCCATTCAGCCAAAAGTGCAGGTACTTCTGTAGGACAAACAGACCTTTCTCCACACCAAACCTATTAAACCATGCCTTCTTGGACCTAGCTTTGTGCATAGTGGCAAGGTTCTATTGGAACAGAAAAGGGCTTCCGACAAGGCTGGAAGTTTACAATTGTTTATAATGTCTTTGTATTCTGTAGCATCAACTGTACCCTTCACTGGGAACACCCAAACTCCATAATTTAGAGGGGTGACTAAATATGTTGTGCCTGATGGTCTGGTCCGTTGTCCAAAACAATTTCGCCATGTAGAGCTTTGTATATGTTGTTGAACTTTAGAAGGTGTTTATGGCAAATTAAGTATTGTGTATAAAAACATGGAAAGGAAAGGTTATGTAGTATCTTTCCCCTACTGACCAATTAGATTTCTGCTTTCAGTGCATCCTTGTCCTTCTTTTTTTAGTTGCTCACACATGGCTTTTAAAATGCGATCAAAGGGTAAAGACTGATGTTTACATTTTTATTATTATCATCATTTTCATCATTCAGTTGACATTTTGAATTGATTGGAAAAAGGGCTAGAAAGAAAACAATGATGCCTCAGATGCTTGAAAAAGCCATAGAAAACAGTTTACGTGATCTCAAAGAATTCCACTCTGGTTCCAATCTTGCATTCAGTCAAAATATTGGAAATTGCACTCGATTAAATGAAGAGAATAGAATGTAGGATGCTCTATAACGAAGGCCACATGGTCCAAGCTAAGGAACATTTTATTTCTGGAGCAGGCACATCAATGCACAGGACTTATTGGTATCCGCACAAAAATTACTGGTACTGTCTTTTCAGCTCAGTACTTTACTTTTGTGGGTTAACCTAGCGTTCGAGAGTCAATGGTTTAAGGTTAAAGGCTTACCACCAGTTTCTTGGGAGTGAGTTGATGGTTACATTGGGATTTAAGTTTAAAGGCTTACCAATAGTTTCTTGTGCCTCTCAAGGGCTTTAATAGAGAAATATCTGCGCTGTAGTTGCCAGGTCTGCATGCCCTGCACAGCAGATATAAGAAACACTACAGTGGTAGAATGGTTGGTTATATATATATATATTCTATATTATGAAGAATGGAAAAGAGAATACCCCAAGGTGGTTGGAACTTTGTACCAGGAGTACTCTGCTTTGCAAGGCATGGGCAAAACCAGGAAATAGCATGGAGATCTCGCCAATAAAGTTGACGGGGGTAAAATAAGCCATAAGATGGGTGTTTCCACCAAGTTCAACGTATAACTCAAATATAACTTTTGGGGTGACAATCCTATTTATTGGTTAAAATAGGCAAACCCTGACAATGAACTTCTATTTACACCATTTTATTGATCTGTTGAACAGATAAAACACGTTTAATGGTATAAGTGCGGGGAAAAAAATCTGATCCTTTTAGACATTCTACAAAATTAGCCTTTATCATCTGAGAGTAGAAGGGGTTGAGTAGTTTGGGAAATGATAACTGGGCAGGGCTGACACCACTCAGTTCACTCAAAAGCTGTTTTGTCAGCCCACAACGAATTGAGAAGTTGGGTGCATTTCTGGCCAACCAACAGGCATACTTGCAGAATGGTTACAGGGATAAAACATTGGGATGTTTTGCAAATAAGTTCTGCATATTTTTTTTTAAATTTTGGCTTGACATGCGCTTTAGGGTTGGGGGAGGAATAGTTCTGATTATGGCAACTGTCAAGGGTTATTTTCAAATCTCAACTCCGGGTAGATATAAAAGACTAGAGCACTGTAATAGCATATTTATTGTATTTTTTTGTAATGTAAGCAGTGTAAATACCTGAAGATCCCTGTACCGCAGAGCTCAGACTGGGGAAGGGAGATGCGGCCAATCAGCCAATGCTCAGTTTATGGAGCAATCTGATATGGTGGAGAGATATGAGTGACACATTGGTGAGCCCCTTAGTCTGCTGCTTCTCATTTCAGTGTCCAATCAGAGGCTGGGGGTGAGGGACCTGTAAATGTTACTGAACTGCAGCAGTAAATAATTATCATGCCATGCTAGACAGGGCTGTGTGGTGTTGCCACAGCTGTGTAAATCTTGGGACTGGGTGGAGAGAAACGCAATCCTTTGGCAGATAAAGCCTTTTGTAAGTATTTCTTCTGTATATTTATCTGTTTACTTGGAATTCAGTTTTAAGTGTTAAGTTAGAATAGGGGTAGGCAACCTTGGCACTCCAGCTCTTGTATTGGTGTCGCAGCAGTGGGTCCTAGAGGCCAAGGCATGGTAGGATTTGTAGTTTTACCACAGCTAGAGTGACTAGGTTACCCACACTTTGGTTAGAAGGTTCATTTTAAGGGTTAACGCTCCCAACCTGACAGATTCTAGCTACACTCTGCTCTGTTTAAAGAAAGAAGAAAAAAAAAAGCTGAATTTTCGCTTCACAATGGTCCACATTTAGGGTAAGACCTGTTGTTATATTGTCTTTAATTACAATCATGTATAGAGCTCTTATTTCATTTTATAGACTATGCTGATGAAGGAGATTGGAGCGCCTGGTCTGTGTGCAGCGTCAGTTGCGGCAGTGGGAACCAGAAACGGACCAGGTCTTGCGGATACGCCTGCACAGCCACAGAATCCAGGACGTGTGATATGCCAAATTGTCCAGGTGTGTAAAATAACTCCAGAGAAATGCAAACCAAAGAAAGCTGTGCATGCTGCTGGGAGCCTTTTCTTCCCACCACATCAAAACCACCCTGAAACGATCAACGCGCTGCCTTTAAAATATAAAGTGGGTGTTCTGTGGATAAGTGCGTGCACATATAATGACTAATGGATTTTAAAAGGGGAGGGAAAAAAAAGACGGGTTATTTGGCCGCTTCTCAGAGGTAGCTGCAGAACACCTGGTAAAATGAACAGGCTGACTTTGGCTCACAAAACACATTCCTGATGCCCTGATAATGCATTTGTTACATACTCCAGTTCTCCGAGAGAGGAAAATAGAAAACCTTGTGACTTTATAGTACGACTACCCCAAGTCACTAACAGAGGAATTTTATAATATTTTACAGCTCTTAATACTTGGCTGGATAAGTTCTTAATTATATCTGATGGGCTGTAGAGTCAATACTGAATTTGGCTATCTATGAGAAAAGACCAGGGACCTAAAATGTACAAAGGGCAGTAAAGTGTTAAAGTGTACCTGTGTTCATGTCAAATATCTGACTGGCTGAAGAAAGACGATTGGTTGCACACGATTGGAAGTTTTGTATGCACTCGGGTTCATCTCAACTCCCCTAACCTCAGCATTAGTCATTCAGCAGGGATTGGTGCAAACCCAATTTGCTGGCGTTCACCCAAGCCTGCACAAAACTGATTGACACCCTGACACCACCCCTTCCCAGCCCAATGAATTGCAGCATGGGCATGTCACAAAGGGGTGGTGTATGCCACTACCACAACTGATTGGGTCGGGAGGGGAGTGTCAGGTTTGCACAAGCTTGGATGAACTGGGTTTGCACCTCTTCACCCTTTAGTAAATCCGATTTCTCTGGTATATTTTCATTCTTGTAAACTTTTCATTCATTGATTGAGTAATAAAATTTGCTATTCCGGACAAAAGCAAACCATTAAAAAAGTGTTGAAAAGTTAGATGTTGGAAAGGGCCAAATTGGGCTGGTGTGTTGCATTAAGGCATGTCCATTCATTGAAATGGGCTGTCAATGCACCAAAATGCATAGAGGAATGGGCATGTATCATTTTTTTCCAAAGCAGTGCACCACAATGCACAGTATTGTGTTACTGTTCAGTGTTGCGCACTACAATGCAGGTGTGTTGGCAGGATGTGTGTTGGGGTGCCATTAAGAATGAATGCTCTGCACTGCAATATATATATATGACTGGAATAAAAATTAAGTTTTAAAAATGAAAAGGGTCTGTCACCACATTTTGTCCTGGTTACCACTATCTGAATTCTATTGTAAATACCTGACTTAAGGTGGCCATACACTCTACAACCATCGCAAGACTTTAGTCTTGCGATGGTTGTAAAGGGATTAAAAAAACGTACGATCTGCCTATCTTGGACAGGCAGATCGCACTCTCGATCATCGCAAGCCCGCCCTCCTGAGGGGCGGGCTTCCGATGACCGCAATGCTGAACGGGCAGTGTGCGCGTGCGCACACCGGCGCGTTCAGCATTTATCTTCCGAGCACCGTTCTAACCAGCCGAGAATCGTACGATTCCCGGCTGGTTTTCGAACATGCTGGTTCGACAGAAGACGTGCGACCGTACAGTAGAAACGGTCGCACGTCTCCGTTCACACTGCTCGATTATCGTACGAAAACCCGATCGCATACGATTATCGTACGATAATCGTGCAGTGTATGGGCACCTTTTTAAGGTGCCCATACACCTTACAATTATTATCTGCAGATTTTCTGTGGTCAGATGGATAAAGTGCAACAGATTGGCCCAGGTGGAGATTACTCCATCCACACAGTTAAGTGTAGATGGAGGAATCTGTTGCACCTTTTCCATCTGACCATAGAAAACCTGCAGATAATTGTAAGGTGTGTGGCCAGCTTTAGACCTGTCAGTGTCTTACAATCCTTAAAGCAACACTTGGACTGGAAGAAGGAGAGGCAGGACTGGGGAGTTATTGTGTTTGCATACAAATGTACTGATTAGAGAACATGGTGATAGGAGAGAAGAGCAGAAGATTGTCTTCATCAATCTGATGGTGCCCTTTCAGTTAGCAGACTGAAGGTGGAGAGGGGACAGCATTGCATTCCTTCTCTAGTCTATAGCTGCAACATAGAAAGTGGTGTCACCTACTTTGGTGCACTCTATCATGGCTGTGTAAATCTCCGAACAGGATGAACAGAATTACAAGTTCTTTGAATGATAAAACACCTCCCACATATATCTTACCATTGAATATTTTAGCCTGGACTTCAGCTTTAGAGTTGTTCTCATTGGCCACTGTGTTTCTTCTGCCATTGTGTTTACATACTGTAACTTTCAGAGCACAGGTGGTATCTTATACCGCAGCAGGCGTCATGGAGGATTTATATAAAAGTTTATTTTATTTGTTCACTTAAAGTCCAGGACCACTTAATCCCCTTTCAAATAAGTCATTTTTGGCAGCTCTGGTTGTCTCCTGAAGTTGGTGAGAAAAAAGTGTAGCATTTCAGAACCAATGAGGTGTTTGTAATGAGCTGTCTGTGTGGTCCATGGGCCTCCTAGGCCTTTTACAAAGCTGCCATTTCCAGCACAATGCATTTACAGTAAGTCAGATTTTTTATGGCTCTCAGGAAACCAGTTTAAGATTTGATATTTATACTAATACGCAGATTGCTGTCTTTGGCTAATGACTTAACACTTCTGGCTACATTGAAGCAGTCGCTCTACTTTTATAACACCAGTTACAAGGACAAAATTGTGTTGGTGCTTTTTGAGTGGCTTGAACGCAAAAATAACGACACTGGCATGACGGACAATTTCCTAGGATCTCATTTTACTGTGTTGCACAATCTCTTATTGACAAGGATGCCCTTGCTTGAATAAATGTCCATGAAGTAAACTGAAGTAAGCGTAGACTCAGACAGAAACTTGTGACTCCTGAGCTGTATTTTAGTCCCTGGGCAGTGACGTTATTGAAGCCTTCTTAGTTCCATTTCACAATCTCAGGGCAACTATATAGAGATGCAGAGAGCAGCAGCTTCCATCTATCCCTTTTTAACTCCCAATATTTTCTACTTTGAGAAATCAAATATAACATCAAGTTTTAAGTCCATAAACCTACACATATGATGTTCAGTAGAGAATTAGTAGGATACAGTCCCTTTAAAAATGTGGGTTAGGCAATAACATGTTTGCGTGACATGACCAGTTCACTTTAAATATTTTCTTCCCAAAGCACTAGTGTTGTGCACTGTGTATTATGTTACAGCTACTCTGTTTAAAAATAGATTATGAAAAGGTTGCCTGAAAAAAGACCTAATCCTTCTCTGGTGAGTCCGCACATCGTTGAGCACTATAGCCTCCAGAATGCTCTTTGGCATTTGCCACGCCCAGGTTTTTTTGTTGAATGACTGTGCCCCCTGCCATGTCCTATGGGTCCTCTCGCTCTATCCCTCTCATTAAAGGACATAGGGACATAGAAGCCAGTGTAAAGAGCAGAGCACCAGGCACCCAACACATCCACAGGTAGTACTTGAAGACTGAAGTGAGACCCCAGAGAGACCTAGTTTACAGTCAAACTTTGGATAAGCTGTATTCTCAACAAAGAAAAAGGCTTTAAAGCAAATGATCACTGACCTCTAGCTGTAGGCATTGTGGATCAATTCATCCATATAGTTAGCTGGAAAAGCACTGAAGTGGTTCAAGTAGTGTCTTAGTGCTCTACTACTCCAACGCAGATCACCTGCTCTGTGTTTGCATTGGAGATTGGGAGGGGGAGCAGAATGAGATTTGCGCCTGAAATTGTTACTGCTGTAAACTTTGAGGATCAATTACTACTCCGTGTCTGCAACTACAGAGATCCATGAAGGCTTGTTTTAAAGCTCATTATTGCTTGTTTAGAATATGTTAAAAGAGAGCTAAAGGCAAACCTTTGTTTGGGTCACAGAAGTACTTTTACTAATGTCCTCATGTGACCCAGACTCAGAAATTAGCGGGCAGTAGCCTGCTAGATGCTGACAACACAGAGCTGCGCTGCAGCCAGGAAAGATCCCAGCGATATCATCTAGATCCACCTTGTTGCCTTATTGACAGCTGGAGCCAGCTGCGCCCACCCTCTCACCTTTCAGCATGATGATGCTGCTGCTTGTAAAAATCCTCCCTTCATGCTGCCATCATAGCCTCCAGATATTGCCCTGAGCGGCTATTTTCTGGTGCTGCATGGGTTAACAGCAGCCGCTGCTAGTGTGAAGAATTGTGCTGCTCGTCCATGTCTTCATGCCTTTTCCTCCATTCAGAGAACTTGTACTACAATTTTTTCGGAATGCATTGAGTTCTATACGGAATTAGTGGAACAACTGGATTTCCTCTACCCACTCAGAACAGGATGCATTGTGGGAGGATAGTAGTAAGAGTTCTCTGAATGTAGGAAAGGGCATGAAGGAGGCTGGTGAGCGTTGCAACTGTTCACACTAGCAGCAGCTGCTGTTACCATCGTCAACACCCTTCAGGTGGCCTGTGTGACTTCCTCTAGATCGCCTTAAGTTATAGAGAACGCAGATGCTGAATGCATATCGTTCAGTATTAAGCATTTGTATGAATGGAAAAGTTGCTGTAGAAGTTGTAAATCCGCAAAAGGCAACCACAGGTTTTAGTGCACACAAAGGTCCGCCAGGAAAGAGTCATGTGGCTTCTGAGCTGCCAGTTGGGCATGTCTGCAAGAACTTTACATCATACTAATCTGAGCAAATTTGAAATCCTTAAGTCGATGCCACTTACTCAGCATCTATGTAGAAAATGCATAACTTAAACAGCTGTTTGTTTTTACCGGCCATATGCTTTAATGCTGCCAGGTGTAAACACTCGTTTTCATCTTCACTAGGAATTGAAGACGCATTCAAAACCGCAGCAACAGAAGTGAGTCTACTTGCAGGAAATGAAGAGTTTAATGCTACAAAGTTGTTTGGCGTTGGTAAGTGTATTATGTGTTTATTGCAGGGGTGGGTTTTATTTGTAAAATTTAGGAACCATATCCATATAAAAAGCCAACTAATCCTGAGATCCTAGGTCCAAGATGATAAAATCAGGGGTATGTCAGGGAATTCTGTAACTGCTAATGACCTAAATGGTACCTGCAAGAATAAATGGAAGCAGTGCAAGTATTTGACTTGATCTCATTACCATGTGATCCTCTGTACAGCAGCACTCAGAATGGTAGAGAGAGGAAGAGAGGGGCGGGAGCCAATCATATGTGTTGCATGCAGATGTGCTGACGAGGAGGGAACAGAGTGAGCAGAAAGATGACCTAATCAGTTTATTCCCTGTCCAATCTCTAGGCCTAGGGTATAGATATGGCATTGCTGTATTCCTTACCTGTAACAGGAAAAGTAGTGTCGTTTGACAGGCTGTTAAAATATTAGGAGTAGTAAAACTTCTGATATTTATTTAATTTAGCTGTTTGTTTTGAGTTTAGCTTTAAGATTTTCAAGAGCTGCTGAATGCTGAAAATAGCTGAGATAAACAGAAGCCAACATGATCATATGACCTTATGTCCTAAATAATGTCATTATTGCACGGATAGTTTTGGTATCAGTCGGATTGTTTAATGTATTTACCAGTTAATGAGCAGTAAGATGAGTCATCCTGCATTTCTACATTCCTTTGTAGATACAGACACTTGTGAACGTTGGATGAACTGTAAAAGTGAATTTCTCAAAAAGTATATGCATAAAGTTGCCAATGATCTTCCAAGCTGTCCATGCTCATACCCAACTGAAGTAGCTTACAGCACTGCTGATGTACAAGATCGTGTCAAAAGGAAAGAGTTTCGATGGAAGGATGCAAGTGGTCCAAAGGAGAAACTGGAGATCTATAAGCCCACAGCAAGGTACTGCATTCGCTCAATGCTGTCTCTGGAAAGTACGACTTTAGCAGCTCAACACTGCTGCTTTGATGACAGCATGCAATTGATCACAAGGGGTAAGGGAGCAGGTACCCCTAATCTCATCAGCATTGAGTTTTCTGCAGAACTTCATTACAAAGTGGATGTCTTACCCTGGATCATGTGCAAAGGAGACTGGAGTCGATACAATGAGGTGCGCCCACCAAACAATGGCCAAAAATGTACTGAAAACCCCTCAGAAGAAGACTATTTAAAGCAGTTTCAAGAAGCTAGAGAGTTCTAAGTACTGGACTCAATGAAAAGGAGTGTTTGAAGGACTTGGGTGTTCACAGCAGGATCTGCTGGAAACAGGGTCATGCCATTTTGACGCATGTTAGTGTCTGCAAAGCTAATTCCAACTTTCCCATGTGTTGTAACCAATGCAGTGTACACGTCTTTATCTAGATTACTATATACATCTGTATACATATTGGCAGACAGAAATTCATTGTCTTGATCCTGTGAAATATTTTTCTTTGTTTTTAAAGAAGGCAGGCAATACTTTGCTTGATTCGCACAGTATATAATGAAGCTGAATCCCAAACACACTATAGAGCATTTCAAAAGTCCTAAAGGACATGTCTCCAACACACAGGGATTATCAACTTCAGATCACTTTACTGCTTCATGTGTCCATCTCATTTATTGGTCTATGGTCAGCACTCACATGTTCCATTTAACCTCTTTAGGACAAGTCTAGATCTAGTAGTATTGGCAAACCTCTACAGTTCTGACACAGAACAGGAGCAAAGGAACCAAAGTTACTTGGTGTGGGAGGTTAAAGCAGCAAAATTGGGTCAACTGAAGGGAATGAGATGGACACGTCAGATTTGCCTCATACACTAAACAGTACAGTTTGTTGGAGTTGCTCTTTAAGAAGAGATTGGTGATGTAAAGCTCCCCTTCTCTGGATTCCTTCAGAGAAACCATTTTTCTGTTTTTAGAATTTTTTTGTTTTGTTAATATTTATAATAAAAATGAAGGAATACTGGTTGGAAAAAGTTATTAAAACAACTCACCAAAACAAGTTTGTTTTTTTTGGCTGGAGTGGGGGAAGGATTCATCTTTTTCTGCTGCTGTTCCCTGATTGGATAGACTTCTCATTTCCTGTCCCGATGATTAAATGGCAACAACAGGGGACAGTAATAACAATTTAAAAAAAAAAAAAAAAACTGAAAGAGGGATTGAACCTTTCCCTGCTCTATCAAAAAAAACCTCAGCTGGAGATCTATTTTAAGGCAAAGTCTACCAGAAGCTGATATTTAGGTGTGACCATATCCACCTAAAATGTAAGAATTTAAAAAAGGTTTCTGGGTAATTAAGGTTTGGGGTTATCAAATGTAATTAAACAACCCAAACTTCTTACAAAGCAGCCAACAAATAATTAAAAAAATGGGCAAGATATAAGACATACATATTTCAGTCTTTCAAAATATGTTCTATATATGTTCTGTACAAAAAAATCTCCATTCTGCAAATAAATATCTGTCCCGCTATGCACAGTGCACGTCTTCACACTCTTGAAGAGCTAAGCATGCTGAAGAATCTTTGGCATCAGAATGTCTGAAGCCTGCTCCACCTCTGTGCACAATGGTTATATCTGCTCTCATGTACATTACTACAGAACACAGTAGTGGCATAGGGGCCAGTGGAAGGAACCACAGTGTTTAGAATGCTTAGCTTTTAAGACAGTGAAAATCTGCAGAAGGTCATGCAAATGTTCTTTTCCTTGCAGGTAGGGATTAATATGTTTTTAAAATAGTAACTTAAACTCAGTACATTAAACCTATCCATCAGTTAAAGGATTGCTTTATGTGTATTGGGATCAGGTTTAAGATTTGATTTAGAGGGTTAGTTGGGTCTATTAAATTGAGGTTCATATTAGGTCTACTTTTGTTTTAATGTAATGTTAAAGTGTATTTCCACTTTTGCGGTCATATTTGAGAAAACCCCTCTGTTTTGTGTTCCATTCACAGCATACCAAAATATTATTTTCCAAACAATATTTTAACCTTTTGAGATGTTTTGTTGCAGCCGGCAAAATTACTGAATCCAAGTTTTTCAAAGCAATTTCACAGTCATCTGTCCTTATAAAAAGACTTAAGAGAAAACACATTTCACACATGTCTATCCTATCAACATACATTGCAGAAGCCAGGGTTGTAATCAGTTAACCCTTTGTTAGGACAGAGACTGTTCAAATCTACTTTACAAGTACAGACTGGGTTAACACAAACCCCACACAGCCCCTCCCAACATTGCAAAGAAAAAGCAAAGTGAAATCTTAGCAAGAAAAAGCAATTTAAAAAATGTTCTGTTCTTGTGCAATGTTAATGGGAACATGTAAGAAATATAAAATAGATGTTATCCCAGTTTGGCTGCAAAAGTGGAGATACACTTTAAGGTCTGACTTTAGGGTTCTGTATTAGGAAGAGGGTAAGGGTTTGGAAAAGAGTAGAGCACAGGGATATTGTTCCACCCTCTTTTCTTATAGCTTGTTTTTTGGGGGCTGCTAGCACTCTGTGCCAAATATATACCTTGCCAGTGCTGTATCTTCCTACTGAAGTTTCCAATTTTCTTCCCGTTGTTGTTCTTACAAATCTAAGTTCTAGAGTCTAAGCATGGCCTTATTTAGCCCAATAAAAGCAAGTCAGTGTTATTAATATCCTCAATGGACTACTTACAGATGGAATAATAAAAGCTTCCTATTGCACAAAAAGATTTTCCAATACGTTTAAATATCCGGGGGCAAATAGTTGATCATTAAATGCTTTTATTTAGGATGAGCTCATCAGAAGAAAGACTATTGTGGAGGGCCCTGTGCAAGGCATTCAAGAGTGAGTAGATGGTTTATTACTGTTCCTGCTGAGGTATTTATGACTGCCCTCCTTTTGTCAAATTCTTCTAAGGAAAAGGTGAAGCGGCAATACTATGATATTGTTTTAGTGGCTGTGATAGCTGGGCAGACCGGAACGCGCTTGTCAGGTTTTCCTATAGATGACCATTGGACCATTTCACCCACACACCATCACTAACTGAGTTTCTAGAAAATATAAACAGCCAAAGGGTAATTCAACATCATTATCAAAATCAGTTTAGGTGGACTTAGCCTTAAATTCAATTTTTAACCCTGCTCTTGTTACAATTTGGTGAATAATACAAGCTACCTTTTTTATTTTATAGTATTTTCTTAAAATGGACACTACACAACCTTGGAATTTAGGGTAGCTAATTTTACGTGCAACTTATTTTCAGGGACTAAAATGATTAAGAAAAGTGGCACTTTCTCAAAAAGACAATATATTCAGTGTTTTGTCTTGTTTTTACATAAATATGGTGTTTAGGCCTCACATTTATTTTATAAATATATATTTTTGTTGGGCATAAACCAAATGCAGTTTAAAAAAAAAAAGATTATTTTGAAGATTGTGTGGGGTTCATCCATTATTGCTGTTTACAAATACTTCAATATTTTTGTAAAGTATTTATTATGTTGTAGTTTATATATCATGCACCATGCATGTCTGTCTTTTTTTTTATTGTTTTTCTTTTGTGTTTCCATTTTTTCATTTGGAATGTGTTCACAATTGTGGGACAAGGTTAAAGCTTTTAATTTTGTTAACATTGATGTCCATGAAAAAGGCAAAGTTAAATAAATCGCCCAAAGAGGTTCCCCCATCACCCAGTCTTTGGTTTGGCAAATGGAAAATGTTATTGTGCTTGTACTGTTACTTTGTAGGATAAGTAGATGTTTGGAAGATGGATTCTTTTTAGTCAACAAAAGCAAACCTTCAGTCGAAATGCATTAGGTGCAGAGGGAGTACCTAGTCCTTGAGCCACGAGGCTACTGCTCCCACCATGCCACAACAGGGGAACCTAGGAATGGGGTTTTTTTGCCTTGTTTTTGAGCCTATAACCCCTTAGTGACCAGTGAAGTCCATAGTACAGAACGTCACAAGCACCGGCCCCATTTAAACAGACTCTGTTTACACCTGTAAAGCCAACTGTTGGCTTTACAGTAGAAGCGATTCTGGCGACTGGACTGTCGCCAGATCGCAGCTCTGTGCCAGTAGAGTGGCCACCCCCACAAACAGACCCCACCCACCCCCCGGCCCCCACCATGTTTCCCAGTTTCCGCTGCCCCTCCTCCGGGCCCGGCTTCTTGGGTGTCTGTGAGAAGCTGGGGAGGAGATCAGTGAACGTACGTTCACCGATTTCCTCCCCATACTATGGGATCGGGAGCGACGCATATTTCATCACATTCGGTCCCATAGCTGTCATTGCTGGGCTCCTGAAGTGCAGCAATAAGCTATTGATGTGCGGTCTGCACTTCAATAGCTTATTTCAACTGGAAAGGTGTTACTAGGGATCTTTGGACGCCCAGCATCATCTTAAAGAGTACCTGTTATCTGCTATCGCATGGGGGGCCTGGAAGCCCCCCTATGTGATAGCAAATAACGTTTTTAAAAAATGTAAAAATAATAAAAAAATGTTTTAAAGTCCCCCGCCCCATCAAGCACGCAGGCGGGTGCCTGCGTGCTTAAACATCGCGATATATGTTGGGTATTGCCGTGCACGCCAATGAGCAATAATTCTAGGGCCGGCCAATATTTATGCGCATCTCAAAACTGATGACCTGTAGGGGCTTTTAAAGCATCATCTACGAACCTTTTTGGGGTACTGATTTTTGGCGCCGTTTAACAGACTCACAATTTTTAACCTGGGCATGTCGGGTATCCATTTACTCGTTGTGACCATCTTTTATATTTGTATTCAAAAAATGGGTATTTTATTTTGTTTCGGAGCACTAAATTTAACGTAAGTGCATTTTTAACTACATTTTTTCGGTTTGATAAGTTGCGCTAATATCGTGCAACATAAAAATTTGCAACTGCTACCATTCTATTCTACAGAAAATTTCAGAAAATATAGCATGTTTGGGGGTTTTAAGTCATTTTCAGGCCTAAAATGTGGATTATAACATGGGTGCAAAAAATAAAGTCGTTGGTCATGAAGGGGTTAAAGACTTCTGATTACCTCCATTGTTGGCACAAAACTGCATATAGCCTTCCATGCTTAACAAATCATTAGGAATTCAAGTATATTTTACTCTAAATACTAATGCAGTCCAGGCACCCTTCCACCAATTGCAGTAAAACAGATAGAGCACCTAAAATGACAACAGGACTTCCAGAATTCTAATTTGGACATGATATGAATTCTAAATGATGGTCACAATATGGGCAAGCAAACTCTGTGCTTTTAGAGTGTTTTAAGGGTCATGGCCATAAGCGGGGAGGTTCAATAGCTAGTGCAAGTGACGTTAAAGCCCAACATCGGGACTCCTTCCCATTCATTAGTTTGAACTAGGAAGAAAAGATAAGTCCTGAAATCCCTTTACTTGCCCAAGTCCACTGCCACATATCAAACCACATTGCCTTTTTAGATACTGGAAATAGTTGATCATAGGCTGACCTCTAAGCCAGCTGATTTTGTTGCTGCCCCTTGCATTATTGTGTATTGCCATTGCTGCTAGAAGACTTTCTTAAACCATTGTGATGGACACTTCTCACAGTCAGTGGGCCACATCCACATCAGTAGGAAGGACCTTCACA